ATTGAACTTTGTGTTTCCAAGACATATTTTTTCCTATGAAGATACTTTTTATAAGCAAGTTTATGGTATGGCCATGGGCTTCCCCTCTCCCCCATCTTCCCTCCCGTTTCGGCCAACATACTGTTTATATGCAAAATTTTAAGAGGAAACGTGTCTGTATTATAGTAGACTTTCATATTACGTGGCTTCACACCATTAATGTTATTATTCTTTCCTCATCTGTAATGCGAATCAGGTCTTAAATCAACTTGATTCCCTGAGTCATGCTATTACTTAAACTTCAATATGAAGAAAATACTCACTTACCTTTTCTGGACACCAAATAATAATAATAATAATAATAATAATAATAATAATAATAATAATAATAATAATAATAAGAATAAATTCACACAAAGAATTTCATTTCTGAGTTCTTAGATTTGACATAGGTGTCACTCGCAGGTTTTTAGATCAGATTAATAATGTTTTATTACACTTTCTCAAAATTACGCTACAAAATAGTTGATGAATGTTCATCATGTATCGGCTATAGGAAGCTTTGGGGAAGGTAAGGAGAGAGAAAAAACTAATTTGTGTCTCCTTATGTAGATAAGCTTCACTCTGTCAGCAAAGCTCTCTCCTCTAACAGTATTGACATACTCCTTCCGTGTTATGTAATAAATTTTAAACTGATGAGTTAAATGACATTAACCATAGACTGTTGGTAGTTAAGACACATAGGGAACATTTAGGCAACTTTATTCCGAAACGTTTCGCCTACACAGTAGGCTTCTTCAGTCGAGTACAGAAAGTAGGCAGGAGCAGTAGAGATGCGGAGACGATGTAATCAGTCGATCACCCTTAAAGTCGTAGATTTGAGGTTGTCAGTCCCTCAGCCTGGAGAAGTTCTGTTCCAAAGTCTGGAACTAACTGAAGATCAAGCGACAGTGTTGAGACTTAAATACTGTCGGAAAGAGAGGTGCAGAGTAGTAGTAGTGAGATTGTAGCCACTGAGAGGTCACGTCCCTCTCAGAACAAACGGTTCTCACCACCACCACCACCATCATCATCATCATCATCATCATCATCATCATCATCATCATCATCATCATCATCATCATCATCATCATCATCATCATCATCATCATCATCATCATCATCGTCATCATCATCATCATCATCATTTATCTGTAATTACTGATGACAATAAAAATGTGATATTCTGCCAGAAATGTTCAAGGTCACGGAATAAAGTTCATTAAGGTTAAGCAGTGCTCATTTTGCTTTAATCTGATTATCACGACTCAAGGCGCCGTGTGAGCACGAACACTTACCTGTTCATCCCAGGTGGCTCAGTGGTATCATAGCTGCCTGATGTTTTGCAAGACTCAGTTCTCACCCACCTGACTTTAGGGTTTAGAAGTTAATGACAAATTAAATAATTTATATGAATGACGGACAGATTACATACATGCATGCCACAAACACGTGTGTGTGTGTGTGTGTGTGTGTGCGTGCGCAGGCGCAGCATAACCACAGAGTATATCACACAAAAGAACTAATTTATACGAAACTCCGAAGCATTGTTAAAAAAAAAATTGTCGCTGTCTCTCTCTCTCTAAAATTTCTGAACCACGTCTCAAGCTCAGAAAACTCCCTCATATCAGAAATGAAAAGTTAGCTGAGGTCGTAACTTTACGCCTCCATAAGGACTCAGAGAAAGTTGGTCTGACTCACGAAGAAGAACTCCACCACCGAATTGCTTTCCTCTTCTTACAATGACTGCTTTCACTTTTTAAGTTTTGGAAAGGGAGTCACTTGCTTACCGACCCCCAAGATGCTTTGTGTTTACAACTGATGTTGCGGTTATATATATATATATATATATATATATATATATATATATATATATATATATATGTCGTGCCGAATATGTAAAACTGGTCAATTAGCAAGAACTCATTTAAAATTGAGTCCTTTCTAAAATTTTCTCCTATACGTTCAAAGATATATTTTTTTCATTAATGTTAATGTAAAAAATTTTAATTTTGCATCAGAAGAATCTTAGAAAACTTACCTAACCTTATTATAACAAGAACAATTTATTTTAGCCTAACCCAACTAAATATATTTTAGATTTGTTTACAGTAATTTAATACTAAACAAACACAGTGAAATATATTTTTTTCGTTAGGTTCAGAATGATTTTGGCGAAATTATTGCATACACAAATTTTCGCTTGTCCTATATGGCAAGATGAGCGTTACCATTTAAGCCAAGATCGCAAGTTCTGCCTATTCGGCACGACATATATATATATATATATATATATATATATATATATATATATATATACATATATGATAAATTAGACACATATGCAGCGCTTGGGTGTCTTTAATGAGGAAACGTTTCTCCACACAGTGGCTTCATCAGTCCATACAAAGAAGAATGGTGAAGAACAGGAGGAGTTTGAGGTAATCAGTCCTTGAAACTTGAGTCGATGTAATCAGTCCATCAATATTGAAAAGAATACAGCATATCTGTGGAGAAGTAGCTTATATACCGTAGGCAGGAGAGGTGCAGCAGTCGTAGGTGGTATCACATTTGTCCAATGTGGAAGAAGGTCATGTCCAAGGGTTAGGCAAGTGAGGAATTCCCTGTATTAAGATCCCAAGATGTTGCTGTGTCAGACAACAATGTAGATGAATGAACCCTTGGACATGACCTACTTCCATATTGGACAAATGTGATACCACCTACGCCTGCTGCACCTCTCCTGCCTACGGTATATAAGCTACTTCTCCACAGATATGCTGTATTCTTTTCAAGATTGATGGACTGATTACATCGACTCAAGTTTCAAGGACTGATTACCTCAAACTCCTCCTGTTCTTCACCATTCTTCTTTGTATGGACTGATGAAGCCATTGTGTGGCGAAACGTTTCCTCTTTAAAGACACCCAAGTGCTGTATACGTGTCTAATTTATCACATATATATATATATATATATATATATATATATATATATATATATATATATATATATATATATATATATATATATATATATATATATATATTTTTTATTTTTTTTTTTTTATTATCACACCGGCCGATTCCCACCAAGGCAGGGTGGCCCGAAAAAGAAAAACTTTCACCATCATTCACTCCATCACTGTCTTGCCAGAAGGGTGCTTTACACTACAGTTTTTAAACTGCAACATTAACACCCCTCCTTCAGAGTGCAGGCACTGTACTTCCCATCTCCAGGACTCAAGTCCGGCCTGCCGGTTTCCCTGAATCCCTTCATAAATGTTACTTTGCTCACACTCCAACAGCACGTCAAGTATTAAAAACCATTTGTCTCCATTCACTCCTATCAAACACGCTCACGCATGCCTGCTGGAAGTCCAAGCCCCTCGCACACAAAACCTCCTTTACCCCCTCCCTCCAACCCTTCCTAGGCCGACCCCTACCCCGCCTTCCTTCCACTACAGACTGATACACTCTTGAAGTCATTCTGTTTCGCTCCATTCTCTCTACATGTCCGAACCACCTCAACAACCCTTCCTCAGCCCTCTGGACAACAGTTTTGGTAATCCCGCACCTCCTCCTAACTTCCAAACTACGAATTCTCTGCATTATATTCACACCACACATTGCCCTCAGACATGACATCTCCACTGCCTCCAGCCTTCTCCTCGCTGCAACATTCATCACCCACGCTTCACACCCATATAAGAGCGTTGGTAAAACTATACTCTCATACATTCCCCTCTTTGCCTCCAAGGACAAAGTTCTTTGTCTCCACAGACTCCTAAGTGCACCACTCACTCTTTTTCCCTCATCAATTCTATGATTCACCTCATCTTTCATAGACCCATCCGCTGACACGTCCACTCCCAAATATCTGAATACGTTCACCTCCTCCATACTCTCTCCCTCCAATCTGATATTCAATCTTTCATCACCTAATCTTTTTGTTATCCTCATAACCTTACTCTTTCCTGTATTCACCTTTAATTTTCTTCTTTTGCACACCCTACCAAATTCATCCACCAATCTCTGCAACTTCTCTTCAGAATCTCCCAAGAGCACAGTGTCATCAGCAAAGAGCAGCTGTGACAACTCCCACTTTGTGTGTGATTCTTTATCTTTTAACTCCACGCCTCTTGCCAAGACCCTCGCATTTACTTCTCTTACAACCCCATCTATAAAATATATTAAACAACCACGGTGACATCACACATCCTTGTCTAAGGCCTACTTTTACTGGGAAAAAATTTCCCTCTTTCCTACATACTCTAACTTGAGCCTCACTATCCTCGTAAAAACTCTTCACTGCTTTCAGTAACCTACCTCCTACACCATACACTTGCAACATCTGCCACATTGCCCCCCTATCCACCCTGTCATACGCCTTTTCCAAATCCATAAATGCCACAAAGACCTCTTTAGCCTTATCTAAATACTGTTCACTTATATGTTTCACTGTAAACACCTGGTCCACACACCCCCTACCTTTCCTAAAGCCTCCTTGTTCATCTGCTATCCTATTCTCCGTCTTACTCTTAATTCTTTCAATTATAACTCTACCATACACTTTACCAGGTACACTCAACAGACTTATCCCCCTATAATTTTTGCACTCTCTTTTATCCCCTTTGCCTTTATACAAAGGAACTATGCATGCTCTCTGCCAATATATATATATATATGCAATAAGTTCGCAGTAAACAGGTGATTTTAAAATATGCAAAACAATCACTGTGAAAGAGCAGTGAAATTCCAAGCGCTTTCGTGACTACTCACATTGTCAAGGAACTATGAAAGTAACATCAAAGGAAGGCAATTAAAGGGCTTAGACCACACCTCACAGCCAACTCCCATAACAAAGAAACACCTGACGCGGGACAATACCGGACTCATAAGAAAAGAAGAACACTGCAGTAGGTCCGCTGGTCCAACTACACAGGTCCTCATATATATATATATATATATATATATATATATATATATATATATATATATATTATATATATATATATATATATATATATATATATATATATATATATATATATACGATTGATTTGTTATAATCATTGCCATAATTTTTAAAGAGGTGGACTGGTAAGCCAGCGGAAGGCCTCAGTCAGATGATCAAAAGCTCCAGCAGCGGGTCATCATATGACTAAGACTCGCGTCAGGAAACATTTGTCCTGTTTCCTGAAAAAATCTTGCCTAACTGAAACTAACCTTGTTGCTATTGATTTACATTTGAGGTTGCGGATGATGTCTTCCATTTCTACAGCTGATGTTGCAATTGTTGCTTTTGATTTTCAGTTAATGTTGCAGTTGTTGATGTTATTTACAGATGATGTTGCAATTGTTGTTTTTGATTTACAATTGATGTTACAATTGTTACTTCTGATTTACAGTTGAAGTTGCAGTTCTTGCTTTTGAACTACAGTTCATATCAATATGAGCTTGTTATCGTGTTGCACCAGGTCAGGATGAGCTCGTTATCTTCCTGCACACAGGGTGAACATTTACCTTGCTGCAGTAGGCCGGGGTAAGCTTATTATCTTGCTGCGCCACTCTAGGATGCTCCAGTTATCTTGCTACACCTGGCTAGGGTGAGCTTTTTATTTTGCTTCACCAGGCCAGGGTGAGCTCGTTATCTTTCTCCAAAAAACATTACGCCTTCTGATGCTGTCTACTTACTAAAGGCTTAGGAATGCAAGTATTCCTTATATCCATCAATATATATATATATATATATATATATATATATATATATTATATATATATATATATATATATATATATATATATATATATATATATATATATATGTATATATATATATATATATATATATATATATATATATATATTATATATATATATATATATAGTGTGTGTGTGTGTGTGTGTGTGTGTGTGTGTGTGTGTGTGTGTGTGTATGTGTGTACTCACCTAGTTGTGATTTCAGGGGTCGATTCACAGCTCCTGTCCCCGCCTCTTCACTGGCCGCTACTCGGTCACTCTTCCTGCTCCATGAGCTTTATTATACCTCTTCTTAAGGCTATGTATGGATCCTGCCTCCACTACATCACTTCCCAGACTATTCCACTTCCTGACAACTCTGTGACTGAAGAAATACTTCCTAACATCCCTATGATTCATCTGAGTCTTCAACTTCGAACTGTGACCCCTTGTTGCTGTGTCCCATCTCTGAAACATCCTGTCTCTCTCCACATTGCCAATTCCTCTCAGTATTTTATATGTCCTCTAGTGTCGTCAGGTTGATTTCCCTTAACCTCTCCTCGTAGGGCATTCCCCTTAGCTCTGGAACTAGCCGTGTGTGTGTGTGTGTGTGTGTGTGTGTGTGTGTAGGTTAATAATACACCTGTGTTCCCTGGTGCTCTTAGATACACCTGTGTGTGCGGGTGAGAAGCGGGAGAGGACTCAGGGCGCCGCCCGTGGGTCGACAGCTGCTGTCAAGTGCACAGTAGAGGCGGAGCCAGCCCACGACCTCACCTGGACGTGGATCAGGAAGCGGGCGGATGGCACCGAGGAGGAGGTGCCTGGTGAGGACGTGAGGAGCGACGGCCTCACCTCCAGTGTCCTCCTCACGCCCAGTAACCCTGACGACTACGGGAGGTTCCTGTGTCGAGCCGCTAATGCCGTCGGGCGGCAACGGGCGGCCTGTGTGGTGAACCTGGTGCCCGCTGGACCGCCTGATACACCCACAAACTGTTCCGTGGCTCCTATAGACTCCGCCGCCCACGCTCCCACCCACACCGCCTCCCTCTCCATCACTTGCATAGAGGGCTTCGATGGAGGGCTTCCCCAACACTTCACACTGGAGACGTGGCAGGATGGCAGCCCCACCTCCAACATGACCAGGTGAGCAGGGAGTCACTTCACCTTATCCTTCACCTTTATTCTACTATTCAGCAGGGCGAAATCTATTTAGGGGCTTAGTTTCTGTGTTGCCAGTAAGCTGACGGAGGATCGAACCTCCACCTCTCCTTGCACCGAATGACCTACATCAGTTTAGCGCTTCTCATGAATATAATAGAATTTATTGTTCATCCCGTAAGAGGCAGCTCAACTTACTCCAGTTCTAAACAACAATTTACATATTACTTAGTCCTATGTGTCGGGGTACAAAATTTCCTATCTGTAATTACCCGACAAATACTCAGAATGAAAGTTTGTAATAGAAAGTCTTTTAATAATGTCACTCGTTCTTTAGAAAAAAATTAAAAATCCTCCAGAAAGTCTCCAGTTTGCAATCAGGCGTCCAGCTCTCACCATGCCCGTTATTAACCCTTGAGAATAAAACTCAATCTTTCTGAATTTCGAGAACGATATCGAATCCCCTCGTGATTAGACTGATCCTAAACAACTTCCGATAATTTCTGTGAGGCTCTCTGCACATGACAGCAGAAACTCGAGCCTCCTTGAGTGATATTGGATTCCAAATAGTTTTCTCTGATTTCTCTAGTATGACACACACAAAAGCGCTAAACTATTGAGACCTATTTCATTTTCATTGGATTAAATTGTATATATATATATATATATATATATATATATATATATATATATATATATATATATATATATATATATATATATATTATACTTGAAGGTTATTCTGGGGATCAACGCCCCCGCTGCCCGGTCCATGACCAGGCCTCCCGATGGATCAAGGCCTGATCAAATAGGCTGTTACCGCTGGCCGCACGCAGTCCAACGTACGAGCCACAGCCCGGCTGATCCGGCACTGACTTTAGGTATCTGTCCAGCTCTCTCTTGAAGGCAGCCAGGGGTTTATTGGTTATTCCCTTAATGCTTGATGGGAGACTGTTGAACAGTCTTAGGCCCCTGACACTTATGGTGTTTTCTCTTAGTGTACCAATGGCGCCCCTACTTTTAATTGGGGGTATTTTGCATCGCCTGCCCAGTCTCTTACTTTCGTAGGGAGTGATTTCTGTGTGCAGATTCGGGACCATTCCTTCCAGGATTTTCCAAGTGTAGATTATGACATATATCTCTCTCCTGCGTTCCAACGAGTACAAGTCACACATGCAAATAAATTATTATTATTATAATAAAAAAAGAAGCGCTAAACCATAAGGGCTATACAGCGCTCATGCAAAGAGGTGATTTACGAAACTCTCACTGAGCACAGATGTTCGTAACGCAAATTTACTGTCGAAGAGTTAATTTCACGATAGAACCTCTTACAACATTCTGTCCTCAGGCTTAGCTGTCTTAGGTAACATTCTCATACTGTACGTGCTCACATTCTGCAGCTCACATTCCCAAGCTCACGCTTCCGCCTTCGTACATCCGCGTTCACTCACTCATACCTTTACACCCTCCTCCCCCCTCTGTGTTTACACTCGCGTTTATACACGCATTCATAATCCAGCGTTGACGTTCTCCCCCGTTTACATTTACGCTTTTATACTCTCACGTTCGCCCTCGTTCCCTCACATCCTCAGCCTCACACATCAGCGTTCTTACCCAGACGTTCAGTTTAAAGCGTTCACGTTCCCACGTTCACATTCTTCCGCTTTTACACAACGGTATTCACACTCCGGGGCTCACATTTGCAAGACTTTCAATAAATCCAGTTAAATCTCTTGCAACCTGCGAATGCTACTCAATCCCACTAAATCCGTGTATTACAATATAACACCAATAAATCCTAATGATAACATCACTAAATAAATCTAAGTTTACTGGGGTAAAAGAAAAGGCAGGTCACTAATTATTTTTAACTCATTTAAATTGCTATACAATCACTTAAAATAGTCTAAACACTTTTAAAACTTGGTAGCACAAATCTGTTATTAAAGTAATTATATTCTTTATTATTATTATTATTATTATTATTATTATTATTATTATTATTATATTATTATTATTATTATTATTAAATCAATCACAGAACTTATGGAACTTATTTCAGCTGAGTCCTAAAAGCAGTTCTGAGTTTTGTTTTACAATCGTGTTAGTACGATTTCGTGGAATATAATCAAATTTGATTCGTGAAAGGGAAGGGTAGCTCCATTTCCTTAGATCAAGAGCTTTTCACCAGTATCACGGCACCCTCCTTGATGGAGCCACAACAGTAACACCATGAGGCTATAGCCCCCAACCACTAATGCTATTCTCTCCTGTTAACAGTATGTTCCCGGAGTGGGTGGTGAGCGGCTTGAAGGCCGGGGTGGGAGTGACGTTAAGGGTGGCCGCCCACAATGCCCGCGGCAGGAGCGACGTCATACGCCTGGAGGTGCACACAGCTAGTGCCCAACACCACGCTGCTCCAGGTAGTGGTCAGAGTTCCTGCCCTCATATCAGCACTGCCTGTTTGTATTTTAGTGTAGTGATGTTAGTGTTTACTGCAGCAATGTTTGTTTTTTGCTGTGGTGGTTTTTGCTGTGGTGATTGTCAGTATTTGTTGTAGCGATGTTAGTGGTTGTTGTAGCAGTTATTAGTGATTGCTGTAGTAATGTTAATGTTTCTTTCAATATATATATATATATATATTATATATATATATATATATATATATATATATATATATATATATTATATATATATATATATATATATATATAAGGAATTCGCAAGAGCAGGCGAAATATACACAAACACTGATCTCTGGCTGAAGGAGACTCGAACCTACGAACCTTGGCACAAGGTACGTAGTGCTTTACCAATCTACCCACACTGGACAATACCTTGACGTGCAACTTGCGTTACACGTTGATCCAAGGCAGCCAGCTTTCAGGGAGAAGGCTTACAGCTTTTCATCTCATCCCCTGCATGCATCAGCCTTACTAGAGATTTTAACAATGCAAGGAATTCGCAAGAGCAGGCGAAATATACACAAACACTCCCTTCTCCCTGAAAGCTGGCTGCCTTGGATCAACGTGTAACGCAAGTTGCACGCCAAGGTATTGTCCAGTGTGGGTAGATTGGTAAAGCACTGCGTACCTTGTGCCAAGGTTCGTAGGTTCGAGTCTCCTTCAGTCAGAGATCAGTGTTTGTGTATATTTCGCCTGCTCTTGCGAATTCCTTGCATTGTTAAAATCTCTAGTAAGACTGATGCATGCAGGGGATGAGATGAAAAGCTGTAAGCCTTCTCCCTGAAAGCTGGCTGCCTTGGACCAACGTGTAACGCAAGTTGCACGCCAAGGTATAGTCCAGCGTGGGTAGATCGGTAAAGCACTGCGTACCTTGTGCCAAGGTTCGTAGGTTCGAGTCTCCTTCAGCCAGAGATCAGTGTTTATTATATATATATATATATTATATAATATATATATATAATATATATATATATATATATATTTGGTCAGGGAGTTATAACATCCTTTAGGAGTGAAGAAGAGCAAAATGTGAGTGTGGGAGAGGTGCGTGAGGCATTACGTAGAATGAAAGGGGGTAAAGCAACTGAAACTGACGGAATCATGACAGAAATGTTAAAAGCAGGGGGGGGAAATAGCGTAGGTTTGGCTGGTATTTTTGTTTAACAAATGTACGAAAGAAGGAAGAAACCTAGGGGTTGGAAAAGATAGTGTATATTTCCTTTATGTAAAGGGAAGCGGGACAAAAGATATTGTAAAAATTATAGGTGAATAAGTTTACTGAGTATACCAGGTAAACTGTATGGTAGGGTTATTATTGAAAGAATTAGAGATAAGACAGAGAGCAGGATTGCAGATGAACAAGGAGGCTTTAGAATGAGTAGGGGATGTGTAGATCAAGTGTTTACATTGAAGCGTACATGTGAACAGTATTTAGATAAAGGTAGGGAAGTTTTCATTGCATTTATAGATTTAGAAAAGGCGGATGATAAAGTGGATAGGGGATCATTGTGGCAGGAGTTGCAAGTGTATGGAATAGGTAGTAAGTTACTAAATGCTGTAGAGAGTTTTTATGAGGATAGTGAGGCTCAGCTTAGGGTGTGTAGGAGAGAGGGAGACTACTCCCTGGTAAAAGTAGATCTTAGACAGAGATGTGTGATGTCACCATGGTTTTTATAACATTTTTATAGATTGGGCTGTAAAGAAGTAAATGCTAGGTTGTTGGGGAGAGGGGTGGGATTCAATTATGGGGAACCAAATACAAAATGGGAGTTGACACAGTTACTTTTTGCTGATGATACTGTTCTTTTGGGGGATTCTAAAGAAAAGTTTCAAAGGTTAATGGACGAGTTTGGGAGGGTGTGTAAAGGTAGAACATAGATAAGAGTAAAGTAATGATGATATCAAACGATATAGATAAAGAATTATTGGATATCACATTGGAGGGAGGGAGTATAGAAGAATTGAAAGTTTTCAGATATTTGGGAGTTGACTTGTTAGCGGATGGGTTTATGAAGGATGAGGTTAACCATAGAACTGATGAAAAAAAGGTGAGTAGTGTGTTGAGGTATCTGTGGAGGCAAAAAACGTTATCCAGGAGGCTGGAGGCAGTAGAGATGTCTATGGGCAATGTGTGGTGTAAATATGCAGAGAATTCGAAGTGTGAAAATTAGGATGAGGTGTGGAGTTACTAAAAGTATTAGTCAGAGGGCTGGAGAGGGGCTGATGATATGGTTTAGTCATTTAGAGAGAATGTAACAAAATAGAATGACTTGGAAAGCGTATAAATCTGTAGGGTAAGGAAGGCGTAGTAGGGGTCTTCCCCGAGAAGGTTGAAGGGAGGGGCTTGAACTTCCAGCATATCAGACATATCAGACATAGAGATATACACCACAGCACCGTACCATCCTTTGCGGATAATACTAGGATCTGCATGAGGCTGTCATCTGCTGAGGACGCGGTTAACCTCCAAGAAGATATAAACAAAGTTTTCCAGTGGGCAACGGAAAACAATATGATGTTCAATGAGGACAAATTCCAACTACTCCGTTATGGAAAACTGGAGGAGATAATAACTAGAACAGAGTATACTACAAACTCTGGCCATACAATAGAGCGGAAAAATATTGTAAGGGACCTGGGAGTAGTAATGTCTGAGGATCTCACTTTCAAGGCTCACAACAGTGCCACGATCACAAGCGCAAAGAAAATGATAGGATGGATAATGAGAACGTTCAAAACGAGAGATGCCAAGCCAATGATGATCCTTTTCAAATCACTTGTTCTCTCTAGGCTGGAATACTGCTGTACACTAACATCTCCATTCAAAGCAGGTGAAATTGCAGATCTAGAGAGTGTACAGAGATCCTTTACTGCACGTATAAGTTCTGTCAAGCACCTTAACGCTTGGAAGCACTTGACTTCTACTCGTTGAAACGCAGAAGAGAGATATATATCATAATCTACTCATGGAAAATCCTGGAAGGAATGGTCCCGAATCTGCACACAGAAATCACTCCCCACGAAAGTAAAAGACTGGGCAGGCGATGCAAAATACCCCCAATTAAAAGTAGGGGAGCCATTGGTACACTAAGTGAAAACACCATAAGTGTCCGGGGCCCAAGACTGTTCAACAGTCTCCCATCAAGCATTAGGGGAATTACCAATAAACCCCTGGCTGCCTTCAAGAGAGAGCTGGACAGATACCTAAAGTCAGTGCCGGATCAGCCGGACTGTGGCTCGTACGTTGGACTGCGTGCGGCCAGCAGTAACAGCCTGGTTGATCAGGCCCTGATCCACCGGGAGGCCTGGTCACGGCACGGGCCGCGGGGGCGTTGATCCCCGGAATAACCTCCAGGTATCCAGGTAAGCGTGCGTGAGCGTGTTAGATAGGAGTGAATGGAGCCGAATGGTTTTGGGGACCTGACGAGCTGTTGGAATGTGAGCAGGGAAATATATTGTATAGGGATTCGGGGAAACCGGTTAGCCGGACTTGAGTCCTGGAAATGGGAAGTACAATGCCTGCACTTTAATAGAAGGGGTTGGGATATTGGCACTTTGGAGGGGCGGTGAAAGTGTTGAATGATGATGAAAGTTTTTTCTTTCTTTTTCGGTCACCCTGCCTTGGTGGGAAACGGCTGACGTGTTTTATATATATATATATATATATATATATATATATATAATATATATATATATATATATATATATATATATATATATATATATATATATAATGGTATATCGTTATTATAATATTCGTTATGCAGTATATGTTTACATTAATTCAAACTCATATTTACAATACATTTATCAGACTCGGAATGGGGGCTGTTGGGCGTGCCACCCCTGCTGGGAGTCCTGGTGGGCGTGGGTGGCATGTTGCTGATCCTGCTGGTGACGGGCGTGGTCATAGCCAAATACACCTGGCGCTCCCAGCCGCCCACGCACGTGCATACACTCGTCATGACACCCACCACGTCAAACCCCGATGCCGACACCTACGATCCTGACGTCGTCTCGGCCCTCCGTCGCCCCGCCGATAATCTGGACGTCCTTCCCCCGGCCAGTTACGCTCACAAGGCCGCGTCAGCGAAGTCGCACGCACACAGGCAGGCTGTGGTACGCACTCACGCCCAGGGGCAGGGCGGGGCACGCACACACGCCCAGAGCGTGACTAAGGCATATATTAACAGACGAGGCAACGGGAACCGGTCGCTCACAAGGGGGTTCTGTCTCCACAGACAGGTTAGACCCAACACCTGCCTTCCCGGCGGAGAGTTTATGAAAATTTGGACTCAACTATAACCAGGAACTATACAGATGATAACTAATAATAATTACAATAAGAATGGCTAATTTCACTTCAAATAAGAATGATAATACTGAAGAGTTTGTGATGATGAACTTAATGATATCAATAATCTACGGGGGTATGATAATAATAAGTGCAATAAAAATAGTTACTTACACTAAAAATTAATAATGATGATATTAATTATATTTATGATAATGATGATAATTAATAAAAGCATAATGATAATTTTCATTTATGTCTAAAATAATATTACTGTTGCTGTTTTTACCTCAAACAATAATAATTGTGATAATTTTATCATTAATATGGATTAGTGTTCCTTATGATATTCTAATACTCGTGTATTAATCCCCCACAGGACAGTCCCTACCATGACTCTGACAGCGAAGAATCTGAGGACTCAGACTCAGATTCTACCTTCACCGACCTGACGGCCGCAGGGCGAGCAGCTGCCTCACTACCACCTGCGGTTATGTGCAGCAACTCCCTCCCGCGCAGAGCCAAGACAGAGTTTCACCAGTTAACGTCCTCCCCGCTGGACCTGCAGCTACATTCATGCCAGAGATCACAGTTGGTAGCTGCCTCCAATGGCATCATACAGAGAGTTCCTTGCTTCTCGAGGAATCCTCGACGACCGCTGACAGAATCCTCAGAGAAGCTGCGCCACATAACGTCCTCCGCCGAAGAACTTCATCCCCTCATTTTCTCCGGAGATTTCCGCCAGTTACTGTCCTCTGGGGATCTGCGGCACTTATCGTTTTCCGGCACGGAGCTGAGAATGATGAATTCCACGGGAACGTGGCCGCCTCTCAGCTCTTCTTCCGGGGAGATGAGACTTCCTTTGTCATCCTCTGCAACGATGCAGTCACTGGCCACTGAGGAACTGCGGATTCTACCTTCATCGTCATCATCCTCTCCCTGGGACACACAGACGATGTCATCTTTTAACCAGATGCTGCCTTGTCGTCAGCAGTTACCATCGCTGCCGCCGTGTTCAGGGGTGCAGTCACAAACCTGTCACGAAGAGCAACAGCATCACCTGTCTTGTGAAGCGCTATTTTCACAATTGTCTCAAGAGAAGATTCTACCTCAAAAATTGCATGAAGAGGTGCAACTCAGAACTCCTGGGTCAGATCTGCAATCACGATCCTTTTATTCAAAGCATGAACAGCACTCGACGTTCTTAGATCCGCAGACAAATCCTTGCAACACAGAGTCTCAGCCACACCCACGGTACTCAGAGCTTCAGAAACCTCCGTTGTTTCCACAGACTCTACCAGCAACGTCTTCTTCAGAGTTCTGCACATTGCCGATTTGCTCAGAGCACCAGACGGCGATGTCATTTATAAAGCCTCAGCCACAACCATCATGTCTAAAGCAAAAATCATTGCCGCCATCTCTCTCTTACCAGGAGATCGAACCCACAATGTCACTTCTAGAACTGCAACCTCCTACACCCAAAGAAGAGTTACAACCGTTGCTGCCTCTGGTAGAACTCCAGCCACCTCCCTCCTTCAGAAGCCCACCATCACCCAGAGAATTCTGTACTGCTCTTATCACCGATTCTTGCAACCTAACTCCAGAGCTTCACGCGGGAGGGATGCCGTCATGCTCTTCAGTGACCTGCTATTCTCCTGCCTCGAATAAAACGGTAACATCAGTCACTGCTCCTAATGATGCACAGTCACTGGAACACCCTTCTGAGTCGGAAACTTCAATTTCTTCTAATAAGAGTCAACACTCATTACCTAAATTCTCATCGATGCAAAAGCTCGTCAGATTTTCTGAAGAAAAGTCCACATTTTCTGAAGGGAATCATCCGTATCCCTGTAAAAATGATAAACTAGGTTTCACGAAAAATGTACCAGTTTCGAATTTGAGACCATTTACTGACATATTAATGAAACCAGTTAATTCTTCCCATTCCATCCAAGATGCCCAAACACCGCATAAATCTATAACTAACCAAAAAGCTAACTTTCACTCATCTAAAGCATCGAAGAGTATTGGAAAACAAGTATCGTTTAGCGACGATGAAAACCTCCAAGAACCTGTTGCAGTTAGAGTTTCAGCAAAATCTGGAGTGGAAAGAGGTGAAAAACGATGCGCTCAATTGTTTTCCAGTATTGACTCTTCACTTCCAGCCCAGACGAAACCACAACCACCAGAGACAGCATTTATAAAGGAAGCATCCTGTTCTCCAAGAAGAAGCATAGAAGTAAACAATTCTCCAAAGCAAACAACCGACTTACAACGTTTTCCAAAAGCTTCTGTGGCCTCTAGACTAGCATCAGGGACACTTGAAAAGCAAAAAAGCCACCAAGAAGTCAATACTCTGCCATCTTGGGGATCACCGATAACTACGGAAGGATCTCGTTTATTACACAGGCCAGTTGATCCTCTTGGAAATACGCAAGGCGGAGTTAAACAGAACTTTTCGGAACGCAGTGTAGGGTCACTCAAGCCAGAAGCTGTTATTAACAGTCCTAGGGTATTATTGAAACCAGCAGTTCTTGCCAAAGACATCAAGCTCCTCGATTACAGTAAATATGTTCTTGAGATTTTAGAGAAACCTTGTGTGCCTGCCAGAACAGGAAGAGTACAGTGTCAATGACATGCTTTGTAGGTGGAAAGTGTGAGGGATTATCCCCTAGTACTAACGCCGACTTCCTGCATTCCATAAGTCATCGACTTTCGAGCCTTCTGGACGTCAAGCGTCATTGTGCGAAACAAGGCTCACGCACTCTCTTTCCTGTGGTTTGTGATTTTGGTGAACTGAGCCGAGTTTTCCAAGTTTTTGCTGGTGCTTATCATGGTCCATATCCAGAGAGTCCGAGCCACGGTGCCTGGTTTTTTGGATAGCATGGGAGAATCGCCAAACTGACAGCTAGTGCTCATGCTACTAGTGTGCTACTCCCAAAGAATCTCATATTTTGAGGATATATTTTCGTTTTCCTATTTAGACAATACTGTATAAAGTAAATGCCTAAATATTTAATGAACTACAATATGACTTTTTATAACAAATAACCATTAGGATAATATATCAGCGATTTACTATTTTACAAACGTGAGTACATACACACATACACAATATATATATATATATATATATAATTTATAATTTTGAGAGCGACATTACTCTCAGCTTATTAAGGTTATTCAACATCAGAGTCACGAACATTGTTCTTCATTAAAGTCATTCGTGTCTGAGCTGTAAACTTTCATTTCCAGTGTTAAAGAGTAAAGAAAAACACATCACACAACGGTGAGTTGGAGTTCATACTTGATAAAGAAAAAATGCTTCAGGACACGTCCCACTGCAGGTCGTAAAGTGGCCCTGAAGCCGTCAAGTGGCACTACAAGCCGTAAAGTGGCATTAAGCCTATTAAGCAAATAGCTTTATGAAATATGTAATATTAATTAGATTTACCACTTTTTTGTGAATATGATGATGTAAATAACGACACTAGTGGAGGTGTCGCAGTTCTGTGCTCATGGTGGTTCATTAGTCACTGCCAAAACTGAATAAAAATGAGAAATGTTTCAGTCAAATACAAGTCAATGGCGCGGTTAACCTACTTACAGGAGGAAGTTACTATATGATTAGTGGTAAGCGCTAAACTCATTACGGTCAGACAAGGCCTGGGACATGCGAAGTAATCAGGCTTAATCTACTAAACGGAAAGACAGCTCCAGTGCCTTAGACCAGGAGCGGTTAACAAGGTATTAAGGCACCTACCTTGAAGAATCTAAGGAAAAATACCGAATATACGAGTTCGCCCTCAAACACAAAAGAAAATGGTATTGATGACTTTGTAAACATCTGCACTGAGACAATTCAGCATAGAATGTTTCTCATTTGGCTTTCCCCAACATCACAACATTTCGCTCGCTAAGTAAAGAACATGCAACAATATATATATGTCGTGCCGAATATGTAAAACTCGTCAATTAGCAAGAACTCATTTAAAATTAAGTCCTTTCTAAAATTTTCTCTTATACGTTTAAAGATATATTTTTTTCATTAATGATAATGTAAAACATTTTAATTTTGCACCAAAAGAATCTGAGAAAACTTACCTAACCTTATTATAACAAGAGCAATTTATTTTCGCCTAACCTAACTAAATATATTTTAGATTTGTTTACAATAATTTAATACTAAACAAACACAGTGAAATATATTTTTTTCGTTAGGTACAGGATGATTTTGGCGAAATTATTGCATACACAAATTTTCACTTGTCCTATATGGCAAGATGAGCGTTGCTATTTAAGCCAAGATGGCAAGTTCTGCCTATTCGGCACGACATATATATATATATATATATATATATATATATATATATATATATATATATAATATATATATATATATATATATATATATATTATTATTATTATTATCACACTGGCCGATTCCACCAAGGCAGGGTGGCCCGAAAAAGAAAAACTTTCACCATCATTCACTCCATCACTGTCTTGCCAGAAGGGTGCTTTACACTACAGTTTTAAACTGCAACATTAACACCCCTCCTTCAGAGTGCAGGCACTGTACTTCCCATCTCTAGGACTCAAGTCCGGCCTGCCGGTTTCCCTGAACCCCTTCATAAATGTTACTTTGCTCACACTCCAACAGCACGTCAAGTATTAAAAACCATTCGTCTCCATTCACTCCTATCAAACACGCTCACGCATGCCTGCTGGAAGTCCAAGCCCCTCGCACACAAAACCTCCTTTCCCCCCTCCTTCCAACCTTCCTAGGCCGACCCCTACCCCCTTCCTTCCACTACAGACTGATACACTCTTGAAGTCATTCTGTTTCGCTCCATTCTCTCTACATGTCCGAACCACCTCAACAACCCTTCCTCAGCCCTTGGACAATATTTTTGGTAATCCCGCACCTCCTCCTAACTTCCAAACTACGAATTCTCTGCATTATATTCAAAACCACACATTGCCCTCAGACATGACATCTCCACTGCCTCCAGCCTTCTCCTCGCTGCAACATTCATACCCATGCTTCACACCCATATAAGAGCGTTGGTAAAACTATACTCTCATACTTTCCCCCTATTTGCCTCCAAGGACAAAGTTCTTTGTCTCCACAGACTCCTAAGTGCCCCACTCCCCCTTTTCCCCTCATCAATTCTATGATTCACTTCATCTTTCATAGACCCATCCGCTGACACGTCCACTCCCAAATATCTAAATACATTCACCTCCTCCATACTCTCTCCCTCCAATCTCATATCCAATCTTTCATCACCGAATCTTTTTGTTATCCTCATAACCTTACTCTTTCCTGTATTCATCTTTAATTTTCTTCTTTTGCACACCCTACCAAATTCATCCACCAATCTCTGCAACTTCTCTTCAGAATCTCCCAAGAGCACAGTGTCATCAGCAAAGAGCAACTGTGACAACTCCCACTTTATGTGTGATTCTTTATCTTTTAATTCCACGCCTCTTGCCAAGACCCTCGCATTTACTTCTCTTACAACCCCATCTATAAATATATTAAACAACCACGGTGACATCACACATCCTTGTCTAAGGCCTACTTTTACTGGGAAATAATTTCCCTCTTTCCTACATACTCTAACTTGAGCCTCACTATCCTTGTAAAAACTCTTCACTGCTTTCAGTAACCTACCTCCTACACCATACACCTGCAACATCTGCCACATTGCCCCCCTATCCACCGTGTCATACGCCTTTTCCAAATCCATAAATGCCACAAAGACCTCTTTAGCCTTATCTAAATACTGTTCAGTTATATATGTTTCACTGTAAACACCTGGTCCACACACACCCTACCTTTCCTAAAGCCTCCTTGTTCATCTGCTATCCTATTCTCCGTCTTTCTCTTAATTCTTTCAATAATAACTCTACCATACACTTTACCAGGTATACTCAACAGACTTATCCCCCTATAATTTTGGCACTCTCTTTTATTTCCTTTGCCTTTATACAAAGGAACTATGAATGCTCTCTGCCAATCCCTAGGTACCTTACCCTCTTCCATACATTTATTAAATAATTGCACCAACCACTCCAAAACTATATCCCCACCTGCTTTTAACATTTCTATCTTTATCCCTTCAATCTCGGCTGCCTTACCCCCTTTCATTTTACCTACTGCCTCACGAACTTTCCCCACACTCACAACTGGCTCTTCCTCACTCCTACAAGATGTTATTCCTCCTTGCCCTATACACGAAATCACAGCTTCCCTATCTTCATCAACATTTAACAATTCCTCAAAATATTCCCTCCATCTTCCCAATACCTCTAACTCTCCATTTAATAGCTCTCCTCTCCTATTTTTAACTGACAAATCCATTTGTTCTCTAGGCTTTCTTAACTTGTTAATCTCACTCCAAAACTTTTTCTTATTTTCAACAAAATTTGTTGATAACATCTCACCCACTCTCTCATTTGCTCTCTTTTACATTGCTTCACCACTCTCTTAACCTCTCTCTTTTTCTCCATATACTCTTCCCTCCTTGCATCACTTCTACTTTGTAAAAAACTTCTCATATGCTAACTTTTTCTCCCTTACTACTCTCTTCACATCATCATTCCACCAATCGCTCCTCTTCCCTCCCGCACCCACTTTCCTGTAACCACAAACTTCTGCTGAACACTCTAACACTACATTTTTAAACCTACCCCATACCTCTTCGACCCCATTGCCTATGCTCTCATTAGCCCATCTATCCTCCAATAGCTGTTTATATCTTACCCTAACTGCCTCCTCTTTTAGTTTATAAACCTTCACCTCTCTCTTCCCTGATGCTTCTATTCTCCTTGTATCCCATCTACCTTTTACTCTCAGTGTAGCTACAACTAGAAAGTGATCTGATATATCTGTGGCCCCTCTATAAACATGTACATCCTGAAGTCTACTCAACAGTCTTTTATCTACCAATACATAATCCAACAAACTACTGTCATTTCGCCCTACATCATATCTTGTATACTTATTTATCCTCTTTTTCTTAAAATATGTATTACCTATAACTAAACCCCTTTCTATACAAAGTTCAATCAAAGGGCTCCCATTATCATTTACACCTGGCACCCCAAACTTACCTACCAAAACCCTCTCTAAAAGTTTCTCCTACTTTAGCATCAGGTCCCCTACCACAATTACTCTCTCACTTGGTTCAAAGGCTCCTATACATTCACTTAACATCTCCCAAAATCTCTCTCTCTCCTCTGCATTCCTCTCTTCTCCAGGTGCATACACGCTTATTATGACCCACTTCTCGCATCCAACCTTTACTTTAATCCACATATTTCTTAAATTTACACATTCATATTCTCTTTTCTCCTTCCATAACTGATCACTCAACATTACTGCTACCCCTTCCTTTGCTCTAACTCTCTCAGATACTCCAGATTTATTTTATTTTTTATTATCACACTGGCCGATTCCCACCAAGGCAGGGTGGCCCGAAAAAGAAAAACTTTCACCATCATTCACTCCATCACTGTCTTGCCAGAAGGGTGCTTTACACTACAGTTTTTAAACTGCAACATTAACACCCCTCCTTCAGAGTGCAGGCACTGTACTTCCCATCTCCAGGACTCAAGTCCGGCCTGCCGGTTTCCCTGAACCCCTTCATAAATGTTACTTTGCTCACACTCCAACAGCACGTCAAGTATTAAAAACCATTCGTCTCCATTCACTCCTATCAAACACGCTCACGCACGCTTGCTGGAAGTCCAAGCCCCTCGCACACAAAACCTCCTTTACCCCCTCCCTCCAACCTTTCCTAGGCCGATCCCTACCCCGCCTTTCTTCCACTACAGACTGATACACTCTTGAAGTCATTCTGTTTCGCTCCATTCTCTCTACATGTCCGAACCACCTCAACAACCCTTCCTCAGCCCTCTGGACAACAGTTTTGGTAATCCCGCACCTCCTCCTAACTTCCAAACTACGAATTCTCTGCATTATATTCACACCACACATTGCCCTCAGACATGACATCTCCACTGCCTCCAGCCTTCTCCTCGCTGCAACATTCATCACCCATGCTTCACACCCATATAAGAGTGTTGGTAAAACTATACTCTCATACATTCCCCTCTTTGCCTCCAAGGACAAAGTTCTTTGTCTCCACAGACTCTTAAGTGCACCACTCACCCTTTTCCCCTCATCAATTCTATGATTCACCTCATCCTTCATAGACCCATCCGCTGACACGTCCACTCCCAAATATCTGAATACATTCACTTCCTCCATACTCTCTCCCTCCAATCTGATATCCAATCTTTCATCACCGAATATTTTTGTTATCCTCATAACCTTACTCTTTCCTGTATTCACTTTTAATTTTCTTCTTTTGCACACCCTACCAAATTCATCCACCAATCTCTGCAACTTCTCTTCAGAATCTCCCAAGAGCACAGTGTCATCAGCAAGGAGCAACTGTGACAACTCCCACTTTATGTGTGATTCTTTATCTTTGAACTCCACGCCTCTTGTCAAGACCCTCGCAAGAGGGTCGTGCCGAATAGGCAGAACTTGCGATCTTGGCTTAAATAGCAACGCTCATCTTGCCATATAGGACAAGCGAAAATTTGTATATGCAGTAATTTCGCCCAAATCATTCTGAACCTAACGAAAAAAATATATTTCACTGTGTTTGTTTAGTATTAAATTATTGTAAACAAATCTAAAATATATTTAGTTGGGTTAGGCTAAAATAAATTGTTCTTGTTATAATAAGGTTAGGTAAGTTTTTAAGATTCGTTTGGGGAAATAATTAAAAAATTTTACATTAACATTAGTGAAAAAAATATATCTTTAAACGTATAAGAGAAAATTTTAGAAAGGACTTAATTTTAAATGAGTTCTTGCTAATTGACCAGTTTTACATATTCGGCACGACATATATATATATATATATATATATATATATATATATATATGTCGTGCCGAATATGTAAAACTGGTCAATTAGCAAGAACTCATTTAAAATTAAGTCCTTTCTAAAATTTTCTCTTATACGTTTAAAGATATATTTTTTTCATTAATGTTAATGTAAAAATTTTTAATTTTGCACCAGAAGAATCTTAGAAAACTTACCTAACCTTATTATAACAAGAACAATTTATTTTAGCCTAACCCAACTATATATATTTTAGATTTGTTTACAATAATTTAATACTAAACAAACACAGTGAAATATATTTTTTTCGTTAGGTTCAGAATGATTTTGGCGAAATTATTGGATACACAAATTTTCACTTGTCCTATATGGCAAGATGAACGTTGCTATTTAAGCCAAGATCGCAAGTTCTGCCTATTCGGCACGACATATATATATATATATATATATATATATATATATATATATATATATATATGTATATATATATACAGCTAAATGTATATCCCCCTCAATATTATATATTGAGAGTTTACTTATCTCCCTATATTTAAGGGTTAAAAAATGGAAGGGTTTCCAGCAGTTGACAGACCTTAACCCGGCACACTGAAGGTTAATGGGCTGTCAGTACCTGGAGGTACCTGGGAGTGAGCTTTTCGACAGCCGAGTTACGGTTTTAGTGACGACGGTGTGTTTTCTATCTAAGTGAAGACGATAACTTCCCTGTACCAGACGTCAGCACCTTTCATCCAGTCGTTTAACTTATTGATGATTGTATCTACTTATTGATTACTTAATGTTAAAGTAATATAATTTGATTTTCAATTCTTAAATTGTCATTTTACTCTCGCTGAAGACCATGCAGAAAGAGACGTAATTTAACACGTTGGAAAATGGACGTGTTTTTGGAGGACTTTGTGTTGTTAAAGAACCTTGTTTCTAAGGGCCGGAATTTTGTGTGGAGTTACAGTGGATTTTTCCAACGTTTCGAGCAACACAGTGCACAACTGATGGAAAACTTTGCCCTACTTGAGTTCTGGTAGATTTTTTTCCTCTGCCTGCTATATAACAGAAGCAGAAACGCTGTTTTATCCTCAGAGTTACGACTCGAAACGTTCTTATTGGTATTCTGTTCTTATCTCGAGTAAAACATTTCGTCCATATATAATGGATTTATTGTTTATTTTCAAACGTAATTAATAATAATAATAATAATAATAATAATAATAATAATAATAATAATAATAATAATAATAATAATAATAACAACAACAATAATAACAGCAATAATAATTATAATAATAATAATTATAACTCTTTTTAAAAGTAAATAAAGATATTGAGCTGTAAATTAATGAGGTATAGACAATCATCATTATATTTTCTTGCTATGGTTGACTCGTTGCTATAATCACTCGTTGATGTTCAGTGAAAGATGAAATTGACTTATCTATTGTATTTTTGAAGCTCTATGGCAACAGGATTTCAGAGGGAATCAAATTCTTTGACAAGAGAATTTTTTTTTCGTTTTTTTTAATAGTCCAGCGGTCAAGTGTTTTTTATTTCCTCTATTTTTAGCTCTAATGGAGAAAGAGAGAAAGAAATTGATGCGCTTATCTCGCTTCTCTTTGGTGGAGCGTTGATACCATATATATATATAATATATATATATATATATATATATATATATATATATATATATATATATATATATATATATATATATATATATATATATATATATATATATATATTTAAATAATTAGTTGCGAGAATGCGCAGGCGCTAGAGAAGAGCGATCACTCACGCGCGCACACACACACATAAACATGGGCCCAGGAGCTATGAATCGACCCCTTCAACTACAAATAGGTAAGTACACACATTAAGGTTTGGCAGAACCGTATGATAAAAAAAAACACAAGTTATTTAATCTCTAAATACCGATATAAATCATTTATCATGAGTCCAAATTTCTAGACAGAATTGAGTAATCCAAAATTTAATGAGGATTATTCAAAACTACTGATGCAGCTGAGAGTCCAATTAATCCATTCACGGGGAAGCACTGAATTCGTAAGGACCATCCAATGTCTGGGCAATAGAAAGTTATCAGGTTTGATCCCACGAAGGGGAGAGTAGGAACTGTATTTAATAAAGTAATTATCACAAAGGTTTTAACACGTAGTAATGAATATGAGATAACATAAGTAAGAAGAAATAAAATTCGCAGATCACCTTTTTTTTATCTATATAATGTTCATTGTCCTGACAGAAACTGATCAGACTCGTAGTGAACTGTGTCATGTGTTTTCTTTAGCTGGTTTGCACGGAGAGGAAACTGTTCTGATATATATATATATATATATATATATATATATATATATATATATATATATATATATATATATATATATATATATATATATTTATTCATATTCCACACTCATTATCACGGAAGATAAGGAGAGACCTCTTTACAAGATATTTCGTTCAGTATATCTTCGGGAAGGCTGACCTGAATGTAAATAGTGACTACTGACTT